GTGTCTCTTCCTTTCCCTCTCTTAGCTTCTGCTTTCTCTTCCTTTCCCTCTCCTAGCTTTGTATCTCTTCCTTCCCTCTCTTAGCTTTTGTGTCTCTCCCTTTCTCTCTCCTAGATTCTGTCTCTTACTTTCCCTCTCCTAGCTTTTGTGTCTCTTCCTTTCCCTCTCCTAGCTTTTGTATCTCTTCCTTTCCCTCTCTTAGCGTCTGTGTCTCTTCCTTTCCCTCTCCTAGCCTCTGTGTCTCTTCGTTTTCCTCTCCTTCTCCCTAGCCTAGCCTAGCATCCATGCTTTTCCTTGTTGCTTCAGCTATTCTTTATTTTTTTCTTATTCCATACTTCATTCCTTTTCCTTTGGTATCATCGGTGCTTTAATCTCCGCCACACATGGATGTCGAAAGAGCAGAGGTTCCTTTAGTGAAACAGACGCTCTCCCGGTCCACAACTCCACCTCGACGAGAACGGTGAAGAGAACGGCATCGACACTCTTATCCTCGAGGAGGCCTATAGGACCCCTTTTCTTGGAAGGGAAGAATCCTGCTTATTCGTTCTCTCAAAATATTGCAATTTCCAGGTCTATACCAGAATAGAATATTGCACCTCAAGCAGAGGAAGAGGAGGACATTGCCTCCTATAAAGATGATTTCTAGAGCATCGTGTGTCAAGCAGAAAGAGGCTACGAAGCTTTTTGTCACTGAGAAGGCCTATAAGCCACTTATTGTTTTTTTTTTCTTTTTCTTTTTTGACTTTGCAAGTTAATTCAGTGTTTAGTCGAATACAGCAAGAGGATGCGTAGAATGAACGTTCTGTTAAGACGGCATCCGTGGACGCTTTCATAGCCGAAGCCTAGAAATATCGTATCCCAAACAGACAGATTCTAAAACGTAAGAAAAGCAGACGCAGTCTAGGAAATTCTTGTCTTTGAGGAGGCATATAAACCTTATCCTTGGGAGGGGAGGCAAAGGCTTGTGCGAACTGACAAGGAAATTCAATGTTTATATCCTGTATATCTACAATGAGACTTGAATCGCTGAGGATAAAAGCAGGAAATAAAGTAGCCAAAAAAAGTGTTATTCCTTTATTCCGCATCTTACAAACCACGGCAAATACGAAAATAAGAAAACATATAACATTGAATGACTGTACAATGGAGGCAAAGCTACATGATATATCTTGATACTACCCAAGGCATCGCAGCAAAAATACCACGCAAGGAAACAGGACCTGATTTCTGAGGACATGGCGACATATTGGCGAAAATATGAGATACGAATATATCATTTGAATCATAAGAAACACAATAATGATAAATACCTTTCGAAATTATTTTGCTATATAAAAATCCTAATTCATAAAAAAATAATATATTAACACTGATAGCCATAAACAATAATGAAAAAATATATAATGAAAAGAACAATGAACTTGATAATATAAAAAGGACTTGGAAATATTTAATGTCAGACAGGGCATGTTCGAATCCGTGCTTGCGTGGTCTCGCTTTAGCCTGAAAGCTTACAGGGTATTTGGGAATATGAGAGGTGGAAGCCGCACAGGTAGTCGCCATGCAGCACGGAGTCCGCGAACTGAGGCCAGCAGTCGCATGTAAAGGTTTTTGTACATACATGTAGACTCTCTCTCTCTCTCACACACACGCACGTGCACGACACCTATCCATAAGAATCTACCTATCTATCTACCTTTCCATCCATCTATCTATTAATCTATTACCATCTTTTCCACTGGCAATTAGGATCGACCAGTATATTGGAGAAACATATCCTCGATGCCTTTTGGTAGCTTATGATGGGTTATACTGTACTATAGTTAACCAATTTAAGTACGCATATTCATGAAAATATCCGAGGCACGAATAATGTATCAAGGAACTCGATAAATGTTTACCGCCCACTCAGTTCCTGTGGCGCGAGAGGTGTCGCGTAGACCATAACCATCGGAAAAGGAGGGTTATATATCTGTTATATGTCTATATTATATAGGTGTGTGCGCGCATGTGTGTTTATGTGTAAATATATATCTATATATCAATATCTATCTATCTATCTGTTTATTCCATCTATCTGTATCATATCACCTTCCACCTTGCCCCCCACCCCTTTTTCACTTTCCTCTCCCTCTCTCCCTTTCCCCTCCCTCCCTCCCCCCTTCACCTCAGCCGAAGGGATATGAGAGTCGTCCTGGAAGGCGGTGGCGTTGGTGAGCGAGAAGCCGTCTCTGCCCATCTGCTGGTACTGGATTCCGCAGAAGCCCGATTCCGGCTCCACGCAGATGCTGTAGTCCAGGTCGTTGAAGTGTCCTGGCGGGGGTGCGGGAGATGGGACAGAATTAGGAAAGGGCTTATCTCTTCCGATGGCGTCCTCTCCTCTGCCTTGTCTTTATTTGCTTGGCCCAGCCTGAACAGTGTTCGTTGCGGCGAAAGCAAAAGGGGTGTGAATGAAAATGGATTTGACCGATTTCGACTCCATCTTCATCAGCAATGCAGGTATTTCTGACGAAGATAGAGTCGAGTTCGGTTAGATGATAAAACGCGATTTAAAGATATCCTAATCTACTGTTTTGTATCTTTGATTTAGTTTGTTTTTTTTTTCCCAGATATTATCTCCATGAATATGCATTCGCTTACCCCTTACTTTCTCTCTTCCTCTTTTTACTCTTGTCAGATGCAGGTTACACGATTCCACTTACACGTACACATAGCAACACTACCCTCACGTACACACATGTAAACATACGTATTAACACCATCGGCACCACCCTGTCATACCCACACGCACCTGTATACCCGACGCGGATATCGCAGTCCGACGGGTGCTTGATGGTGCTGAAGTCACACCAGCGGTCTTCGGAGTAGCAGCCGACGCCCTCGAAGTTGAAGCTCTTGAAGTCACCCGTGAGGCCTTGGTAGTACTGCAGGCAGCCCTCAGGCGCTGACGAAGGAGGAGGAGGGAATAGAGACCGTGTATGTGTGTGTGTGTGCACACACAATCACGTTGGTAGGGAGTTAGAGAGAAAGATAGATAGGTATGGATAGATAGATAGACAGATAGAGAGAGAGATGATAGATAGATAGAGAGAGAGGGATAGATAGATAGATAAATGGAGATGATGGTGATGGTAACAATATTAATGACAATCATTTTATCATCAGAGTTGATGATGATTCTGACAGTGATGATGAAAATAATGTTAACAGTGGCAACAATTCTAACAATAACAAAATCACCAACAATATGTTTATGATAATGATGAGTATAATAATGATATAATCATTACCATTATTTCTATTGTTATTATCATATTTCCTTATTCTTATCATTAGTATGTGGAGTAATGTATAAGGACAATAATGATAATAAAAATAGTAGTAGTAGTAGTAGTAGTAGTGGTGGTAATAATAATAATAATAATAATGATAATGATGATGATAATAATAGCAATGATCAATTTTATCATTATTATTAATATCAACATCATTACTTTTATCATTATCATAATTTTGTTACAATCACATTCATCATTATTATCACTACTATCATTGTCATAACCCTTCTTATTATTATCATTATATCATCAACAACATCACCATTATCATCAACACGATGCCAATGATATGCTCACAGCAACACCCAGTAGACAACCTAGCACAGAGTTCGTCAACCCCCTCACTAACCTTTGGGGACCCGCGACTTGGGGCAGTCGCAGGGGATCTGAGTCACGCGCACCTTCCAGGCTCGTCGCGTCGGGAAAGTAACGATGTCCGCCTCTCTGATTGGTCGAGAGAGGGAGGGGATGAAACGCACGGGAGGACAAACGCGCGCTTTTTTTCCTTTTCTTTTTTATGTATACGGCTTTCGTGTGGTGATATGCGATGATTTATTTATTTATGTCAAGGTGATGTTTTACTGATATGTAGTATGTACATGTAGTATATGTAGTAAATGCAGTCTCTTTTTCATTAAAAAACGTATATGTGCATGAAATGTAAATCTCAAAAAGGGCAAATGAAAGAGTGAGAAAATTATAAATAAAAACCTGAATCTGATTATAAACTTTTAAAAACTGACTTGTAGTTATAAAGCGCCACAGTGACGTCACCCTCGGTAGTCACAACGACTTCTGACGTCACAGGAGGGGAGGACGACGACTGGTCTCCGCCCCCGCCCTTGTAGGAAGAGACAGCAGGCGTTGATTCTTCAAGATGTTTATCATTTCATCAATCAGTCTATCTCACTGTCCATCTCTATATGTACACACACACACACGCACACACACACACACACACACACACACACACACACACACACACACACACACACACACACACACACACACACACACACACACACACATATATATATATATATATATATATATATATATATAATATATAATAAAAAAATCATGATATCAATGCGGCCAGTGCATTATTCCATCTTTCATGTATATCATTCTTATGTCAGTCACTTTTCTTATTAATCTATCATTTACCTTCGTGTTTATTCATTTTTCATTAATTTGTACATTCGTTTCCTGTTATTTACACTTGCCATTTCTTTTATAACCATCATTAATTCCTTCATCCATTTTTTGTTTCATTCACATCATCAATCAAGCAACAAAATCTAAATCTAAACTAAAGGCCCTATCACACTAACACTTCTTCCGTCATTTTTTTGCGTTTCCGAATGAACTCCGTATAACAACCATGGCGCTATCGGAGTGAGGTCCCGGGAATCACACGAACATTCTCATATAAATTACGTTATTTTAAAGAAATATGATGATGTTTATTGTATATACGAATGTTCTTAAACATTAGCTTATGTTTACATTTACTCATCCTATCTAATTTATTAATAGCACAAGATCAACAAGAAATTAGTCAGACGGAAACTTTCGTAACCGTCTTGGTCTGGGAGGCGGAAGGTCTATATAAGTACTATATATAGACCTTGTTGGAGACGACCCTTGCGGAAAGCCTCGAATTCAGACGGAACCCCAGAAATCGACGGAAAAAGTGCCAGTGTGATAAGGCCTTAATAAATCTTACTTGTCTCGCAAAGGAAGGCTTGCGAAGAGCCACCGGGATTCCCTCTTGTTCCATCATTCCCATTCCGACTTCCATCCCTTCTCTTTGTTGCTCTTCTTCTCCTTCCTCGCCCACGTCTCTGCGGGCTCGCGTACGACGGGCGTGGTCTGGGGAGTGGGCGTGCTCCGAGGTGTCCGCTCCTTCGGGAATGGAACCGTAGATGTCGTAGCAGTGGTAGAGGTAGTACTCGAGGCGACCCAGCAGGAAGGTCAGGTCGGTCTTGCTGCGGCCTTCCACGTTCACGTACACTGGGAACGGAAGGCAGTGTAAGGACTGGAGGTAGGGGGTTCGCAAATGGGGAGGGAGCTACATTGTTATAAGTATTATTGTTGTAGTTTTTTTTTGTGTTTTTGTTGTTGTTGATATTGTTATTAATATTGTCATTATTATTATTGATATAATTATTATTATCACAATTATCATTAATTTTATCATTATTATCATCATCATTATGGTAAGCCATATAAAGAGCTACAGTGAAAAAATCGAAAACTAAGGAACCATAGGTATCAATGCCGGTCTAAACACAGCTAATAAAAAGAAGATATAAAATCATCAGGTTTTTACATAGTAAAAACATATTAGCTGATCTTACAGACTTAAAAAGAGTCGGAGAAGTTATGGTCTCTGAAAGTAATGTATTCCAGACAGGTAGACAGGTTGGTAGGCATGCAAATAGATGGACAGATTGTTTGATCGTACTGAACAATACGATACAGGATCAAAATATTTCATTATTTAGATTTTTCATGAAGGCAAAAATCTCATAAAACAATGCAGAGGTCAGAGGCTGCTTACTGTGGGAGCCATTATTGACACCGCAAAGCGTGGGCAGGGGAGTGGAGCTCTCGGCGTAGAACTGGTCGTATTTGCAGTCTCCCCAGTACGGTGGCTGCAGCTGGAAATCTTCGAAGTCCAACCTTTAAGACGGGAACGTATAAAAAATGGGATGAGGGATGGGCATCATACTCTCTCTTTCCCTATCCCACCCCTTCTCTCCCTCTATTTCTCTTTTTCTCTCTCTGTCTCCCTCTCTCTATTTCACACACGCACATTCTCCCTCTCTCTCTCTTCCTCTATTCTAGTGTAGTCCTCAGTCGTGAGAGGTTTCCTAAATACTGCGTCTACCCGTCCCGCTTAGTCTTCAGGCCGTGAGCGGGTGAGGTGCCTCCAGTGATTTGTACGGATATAAAAGGGCTTATGTGAAGTAACAACTGAAATTTTAAAAAGGGAGAATTAGCTCGCAAACCATTTCTCTAAAAAGAGCAGAAAAGGAAATCTGAAAATAATTCCCCAAAATTGATTTATTTCAATTTTCCGGTCAAGTTATATTTCCCCAAGAAAATCAGGAACCCGGATGTGTGACGTCCATTCCAGAACACGATCACAGCATTCTCTGCATTCAATACATTGTACTTGGAGGACTCACTACAAGACTACAGCGGCAGTGAAGTTTCATCGGATTATTCCGACGAGGACATTGGTATTTCTTCAGAGGATGCCTACGTCTTCGAAGAGTTGGAAGAAGAGGAGGAATATCAAGAGTTGATGGTTGTTGGACCGTACATGCACGAGCCCGACGCTGTGGATATCGTGGAAGTTGTGCCAAACCAGCCAGACATGGAGTGGCGTCGAGACCCGAAGAGATTTAATTGAATGGTGATTTCCTAAATTAATTTTTACAGTCGAACGTGTGATCCTGCTTCTGTATGGTACAAAATTTCTGCAGGCTGTGCTATCTCTTGTCTACACCCGTGGGGCAGGCCTACATCCATTCGCGAGTGGAGGGGCATCGGTATTTATTTGTGTTGTGCTTTTTGGGGTGTACCTACCCTACATCTGTGTAGTAATACATGCACACTTGCAATGCACAGCACACTGTTTCGTACCCACGCAAAAGCGCTCTTTCAGAGATTGTTTTGCGCTGTTGTGATCATGACAAATATAAATTGGAAATGGCCTACCATTTTGCCAATCCCATGTCATAAGCCATTCTGTTCGCAAAGCGAATGGGCTCGAAGTGTTTCAGGCAAAGTACGCTGGTTGGCACAGGCTGAGAGTTGCTCCTTTTGGCATGCAAAAAACGTGTCCACTTCCTTGCTCTGTCGCGGTCATTTGGCCATTCAAATAGCTGGTGACATGAATGGGAACAATAAATTGCTACACAACGCCGCGGCATCCTTTGTTACAAACTTTAATAGCTTGAAACTGGGACAATTCGATGATATCCTTGACTAGCGGTGCACTGTGTGTATCACGCTATTCAACAAGATTCTCCCTGGTTCTGGGAATGACGTCACAACCGGGGATTGCCGAAGACCGCCGAGTTTTGCATCTTCGTTTCTAAGGGCGTTGCTATGGGATTTTTGGGGATACCAGAGGGTCTCTTCGATTTTTTTTTTTTTTTGCATGAATAGGCTAAGCATGTATTATTGAACAATATTCAAAGAAAAAACAATGCACGATAATTACTTCACATATGCCCTTTAATAAGTATAACTAGTGTGGCAAAAAAGAGAAAAAAACAAGGGCGTCTTTCTCCTCCACCTCCCTTCCCTCTCGCTCACCTTCTCTCCTTCCTCTCACTCCCACCCTCCCTTCCTTTTCCTTGTTTCCCTCGCCCCTTCTCTTCCTTCCCTATCTTGCTCCCCCACCCTCCCTTCCCTCCCTTTCCCCACTCTCCCTCCCTCCCTCTTTCCCCTTTCTCTCTCTTCCCTCTCTCGCTCCCTTCCCTCCCTCTTTCCCTCTCTCGTCTCCTTCCCTCTCTTCCCCTCTCTCGCTCCCCCCACCCTCCCTTCCCTCCCTCTTTCCACTCTCCCTCTTCCCTCTCTCGCTCCCTCCACCATCCCTTCCCTCCCTCTTTCCCCTCTCTCCTCCCTCCTCTTCCCCTCTCTCCCTTCCCTCCCTCTTTCCCCCTTTCCCCTCCTGACCTCAGCTGGCAGATGGGCGACTCGCATCCGTGGTCGACCGTCACGGAGCACTCGAGCGAGTCGTTCCCGACGGGCTGCGGGTAGTCGGGCGAAATGAACGTGAACTCGAGGGCGGAGGTCTCCACGCCGCACGACAGCGACTCTGAGGGGACGAGGCTGTGTGAGTCACGGTGAGTTATGGTGAGTCACGACAGCGACTCTGAGGTGGAACGACTGTGGTGAGTCACGGTGAGGTAGTCTGAGTTATGATGAGTCGCTGTGAGTTATGATGGGTTGTGACGAGACAGTGTGTGGCAAATCACGGTGTGTAATGGTGAGTCGTGATGAGTCACGCCGTATCACAACGACTTTCAGGATATGAGATTGGGGGAGTCTTGGTGAGTCACTGTGTTATGGTGGGTCATGACGGGTCACTACGAGTCTAGTGTTATGGGAAACTACGGTGAGTAATGGTAAACATGTTTAGTCATGCCTTACGACTCTGAGGATGGGAGAGTGTGGTGAATCTGATTGAGGCATAGTGAATCATTTTCAGTCACGGTGAGTCATGTTCAGTCGCGATGGGTCATGGTCAGTCATAGAGAATCATGGTAAGTTCTGACGAGTCCGTTGAGACACTGTGAATATTATGTCGTAGTAGATCAGAATCATGGTGAGTCCTGACGATTTCGGTGAGTCTAAGGGATGTATGAGAATCCCTTTGAGTCCTGGTCAGTCACGATGAATCCCGGTAAGTATGATGGTGAGTTATATTGGATGGTGGACTTGATGAGTCTACATGACAACGATTCTATGTGAGGAATGGGTGAGTCACGGTGAATCGCTGTGAGTTATGGTGGGTTGTAGGATGAGGAATCTGAGATGGTGAATGAAAGTGAGTTACTTTGAGTCTTGGTGAGTTCACCGGGCATCAATTCAGTAGATGAGTCTTGTTGAGTGACGGTGGTCGTGATAGGTCGAAGTGGAGTGACTCAGGTGAGAAATATTACCTAAAACGATGAGTCAGGATATAGGTAAAATCTCGCGAGTTAAAATAAGTTTTGTTGAGTCGAGGCGACGGGGGGGGGGGTGAGTCAACTCAATCTCAGGGCCGAATGATAATAAGTCAAGGTGAAAAGGAAATAAAATTATTAAAAATCTTGTTTTTAAGACAAAGTGAATAAGACAGAGAGTTAAAGAAAAAGAAAATGAGAGTGATAAGAGAATGATAGATAGACAGATAAAAATATAAATCGATAGACAGACAAACAGATAGATTGACTGATAGATAGATAGATAGATCGATAAAGAGAGAGTCCACAATGCACCGATTCTGAACCACAAACGAACAAAATGAAGGAAAGAAAGAGAGGACAAGAAGAAAGAAAAATGATAAGACAAGGCGGGCCGACCTTCCTTGACGTGGTAGGAGGCGTTGAAGCCCCTGCAGGAGCCCTGGGCGTTGGAGGCGAAGCGGAGCACGAGGATGTCCCCGTCCGAGGTCACGTCGCCGGGGCTCTGGGAGCCGCAATAGCGCTGGCCCTCCGAGGTCAGGTCAGAGGTCAAGCTCACGTAGTCGCCGGAGCAGCCCTCGGAGCCTGTCACGTCGAAGTCCACGAAGGTCAGCGCGATCTTCTCACCGTGGGGGGCCTGGGTAGGGGGGGGGGGTTGGATAGAAGAGGGATGTGGATGGGTTGGGGGTTGGGGTGGGCGTAGGACATGGGCGGGTTGGGGCGGTCGTAGGTCATGGGTAGTTGGGGGATGTGTAGGGCATTGGTGAGGTAAGGGGCATGGGTAAGTTGAGGTTGAGGAGTGGGCGTGGTTGGAGTATAAGGCAGTGGTGTTTCGGGGCGGGCGTAGGGCATGGATAGGGTAAGGGCATGCGTGGATTGGGTGCGAGGATGGGGCGCGGTGGAGTGAGAGGCAGGGGTAGGGCGGAGATGAGGTCGGGGGTCGAGGGCGAGGGATAAAAAGATATTTTTTAAAAGATGACGTAATTATAGGAATTATAAGTAGATTAAATATACTTATGCTAGGATTTATTTGGTTTTGGAGAAAATGAGAGTTAGAGAGATTGATAAACAAATAGATCGATCGATAGCTAAACAGGTAGACAGATAGTAAATATACAGAGAGAAAGAAAGAGAGAAAGGAAGATAGATAGATATTACATATATAGATAGTTAGATACACACACGCACACACATATATACATACATACATACATATACATATATATATATATATATATATATATATATATATATATATATATATATATATATATATATATATATATGTGTGTGTGTGTGTGTGTGTGTGTGTGTGTGTGTGTGTTGTGTGTGTGTGTATCTATATTAGTTATGCGTGCCTGAAGGGCTGTGCCACTGTGGCAAAAAAGATATATATATCACAAATAGCAAAGACAGGACCACTTTCTATAATTGAATTAATGCAATCAATAGGTGCTGGTCTCTAGATAGCGCTATTTGATCGATAGGATGAGGTTTTCAAGCAACAAAGTAATGCGTAAAGTTATGCGACTAAAGCGCCTTGCACATTTTGCAGGGGCGATGCATTGACTGTATCCTGTACTTTATGTATGGTGTACTGATATCCTATGCGTCTCTGAGACATTATTTGTCCATATCAGATGTCCCTGCAATCTTTCATAATGCCAGATGGTACCATGTCCATTTTCTTACCTGTATACCCTGTTCTGATAGGCTAGAACTTTAGTTTAGGATATTCTTAGTCACCATATTTCCTGGACTAAATTATGTAAGTCTATAGAGTGCACCCTAACTGACAGTGTTGCTGTTATTTACTACCTCTTTCGATGGCATGGTATATGGCTATTGACTCGACATGTGCTTGCCCAGTAGGAATTACTACATCAATCCCAGGAATTACTACACCAACCCCAGCTGTTCTATGAGGATCAGTAGAGGCATCACAGTAGATTGCTAGCAGTATCATGAGGAGAATGGAGAATTTCATTTATATATTTCAGGTAATGGCATTTTAATTCTGTTACTGAGGTCATAGAATTAAGTTCTGTCAATGTATTAAGATGAACATATTCATGTGGTCTATACCATGGTGCAGTAAGTGTCACTCCTGGGATGAGCATCGAAGTTCGACACACTGAAGCTGAGAATAGTTTGGAAAGTTTTGGCCTTCTGTTCTAGGATTGACTGTATGAGATAGGAGTATCGATGTCTAATTCTATCAGTCTAATTCTATTAGCATATCTCGTTAGACAAAGCAAGGGAAATTTGTGGTCTGGATTGAAGCAGCAGAAGTCTGATGCTGAGCATGGTGTTGACCTGGATAATACGAATATGAATTGACGGGAAGTCTAGCTCTTTCCTTGTGGCAAGGACTTTAGCAGTCATTGACTGATTCTCATGGCCTTGTTTTGTAAGACGCTAAGGTGTTTGAGAACGTTTGGTGGCAACATACTAAGAACCGGGTTCATAAGGGAAATATACATCAACCTTAGGACTCCTAAGGAAGCACCTATGGATCTGTTACTTAATTATTGTAAAGGCCTTTAACCAACAATCACAATGACACCAAGATACTTATAAGTATCAGCTTTTGCAGTAACCTGTCCACGTAACCTTGGAATGTATGGCCGTTTATGAAATCTAGAAATGTATTTAGTCTTGTTGGGATTGATTATGATTGCAAGGGAAGCACACTTTTTGCTGAACCTCTGAAGAACATCAAAGATCTGAATGAGAAAGCCATCAGTATGGGGTGTGGTTCTGCATAGGTCTCCTAACTCACCGATGAGCTTGCAAGTACGTGGTGAAGGGAACAAAACTCCACCTTGTGGAGTGCCTTACTTTAGTCACCAAATGTACTGTAGGTGCCTTGGTACCATGCTTTCTTTCTCCCCAAAGATAGGTAACCCTTATCCATAGCATAAGCTTGCCCTTAACTCTTAGAAGAGTTAATTCATAGAAGATTGTAGAGGGCGAGGCTCTTAAATGCTCCCGTGAAATCTGGACTGGGCATAACAACTTCGTTTTACTTACTGTGCTTAGCACATGTGCGTTCCTTTCTCTTTTTGGAAACCAAAGACTGATGGATGAATCTGATCTTTGATCTGGTGGAGCAGACGAGTGAGAAGAATCCTTTCACAGGTTTTAGACAGTCAGGATGTCAGAGAAATTGATCTAAATTCATCAGAGCATCCTGGTTTTGGGATGGGAATATTAGTAGCTTGTTTGCAAGCAGTAGGCAAGATATCTGCATTGTAGGTTATGTTGAAGAAATCAAGAAGGGAATTTCTTCCTTTTACCAATACCTTTGCAAGGAGTTGGTGATTCCATCATCTCAAAGTGCAATGGATTTACTAGTTTTAGTGTGCAAGGACTTTATGACTTGTGAATGGTACATTAGCCTCATCTAAAAGTTGGCGCTGATAGCCAGTTTCATTTTTGTTTTAACTTAGTGTTTTGCACAAGTAAGATG